TGACTCCTCTCTGCTCAATGACTTCTCCCTGCTCAGTGAATCGTCCCTATCTCTCACTGACAACAACACAACACAACACGTTACGCATAACAACAGGGTCGGACCTGTATCCTATAAAAGTGATCTGATTCTGTGGATGTTGCATGTTTGGGGCTCATTATCAGGCAAGTTGGTGTGACTGCTGTGGTGACACTTTCTGTGCAGTCAGATTAGAGATAGGGTGAGAGCATTTATTTAACCAAACTGGATCCTTTTAATTACAGTGGGAGGCATTGTTATGTTTTAGCAGGTTTAGCCTGCTCATCTTCATGTTGTTGTCCAGCGATTCTGGCTCAGATTAGATCCATTGTATTGATGCCTCTGGGTGTCCCACTGTTAGAGATTGCAAACACAGGTGAGATTATAAACTGGGTCTCAGATTGACAGATCTAGGACAGGGGCCAACTCAAAATGACAGGGTTCAGAACGTTCCATCTGCATCAATGCGTGACATCTCAGCGATCACTGCCTTATTGCCTGCGTCCGTAACGGGTCCGCGGTCAAACGACCACCCCTCATCACTGTCAAACGCTCCCTAAAACACTTTAGCGAGCAGGCCTTCCTAATTGACCTGGCCCAGGTATCCTGGATGGATATCGATCTCATTCCGTCAGTAGAGGATGCCTGGTTGTTCTTTAAAAGTGCTTTCCTCTCAATCTTAAATAAGCATGCCCCATTGAGAACTTGTTGTCAACTGGCTTTCCTGGTTAAATGAAGGTGAAAAAAATAAATAAATAAAATAATTACCAACGGCAGGGAGAAGGATATCCACCCCTGTAAAGATAGCGCGAGTGTTCATCTGCCTCGGTATAATCCCTGCCACTCTATCCTGGTTTTCGTGAAAGGTCATAAGGAGTTCTGCCCCTAGAAAAATAACAAAACATTATTCAGCTAGGGTATTTTGGTGGCTTACTATGGACTTGCGTACATGCAGCCATGATAACAATGACAGAAAACACGAAAGAATCTGAAATTGAAAAGCTAGGAAATATATCTTAAAAAAGATGATAGATTATATTCTGTTCTATCCCAGTTCAGACGTATTTATGTCGAGCCACCGTATGGGAATTGTGTCGGTGTGTGAGCAATGTGTGAATGTGTGTGTGTGTTTGTTTGTGTGTGTGTGTGTGTGATATGAGGCGAGGGCCAGGCAGAGCAGGGTTTAGGGCCTCCCATTAGGGGCCTCCCGGAGGCTGAAATGGGGCCTGTCCATTAACACGTCCTCAGAGACACAGAGACGTGTCTGGTGGGTGATAGAGCCCATCTCCCCACACCCTCCACATGCCACAGCCACGACCAAATCTGCTGAGTGACGGGTGTTGCCTGCAGGGTTTGGGTTATTTCCACTAATTCAATTCTAATTCAATTCTAATTCAATTCTAATTCAATTCTCTCTTCCTATAAATTCCATTTAATTCAATTCAAATTCCAGGTCAGTCTTTGAATTCTGAGATCCTCTCAATTCCAATGTCAGGTAAATTCTAAGAATTCAATTCCCGATTCAATATTAACCCCAACACGTCCACAAATTAAAATTAAATTCCCCCAGGCTTTGACGCTGATCATGTCACTAGCTATACTGGATAAATGATTTAAAACAAATCCTGAAGCACATTTTTTATACGAATTATATGAATTAAGTCTATTAACTGGGAAATGTAAAAATATTTAATTCCAATATAATTAAATTCCAAAGATTTTATGTTTTTACAATTCCAATTCAATTCCAATTCAAAAAGTCCAAACAGTCTATTTCTAATTCAATTCCAATTCCATAACTTGAAATCTTGAAATTTAAATTGAATTCAACATAAATTCTCCACTTCATGAGTGAATTCAAGAATTGAATTATATAATTTCAAATTAAATTGGAATCAATCCCATCCCTGGTTGACACATTTACATTTTAGTCATTTAGCAGACGCTCTTATCCAGAGCGACTTACAGTTAGTGCATACATTATTTTTTTTCATACCCCCTGTGGGAATCAAACCCACAACCCTGGCGTTGCAAACGCCATGCTACATCCCTGCCGGCCATTCCCTCCCCTATCCTGGACCAATTGCGCGCCGCCCCATGGGTCTCCCGGTCGCGGCCGGCTACGACAGAGCCTGGATTCAAACCAGGATATCTAGTGGCAAAGCTAGCACTGCGATCCAGTGCCTTAGACCACTGCGCCACTCGGGAGACTAGGCCCACCAGACACATCTTGCCTGGTGGGCCTTGCAGGGAAGGTGAAGGGCTGGGGTGGTGTGAGGGGAAGAGTGACTGGCGTGATGGCAGGTTGGTGGCGCCACGTCCTTTCAACTCCTCCACCTCACTCTTCAAGACACCCACCCATTTCACACGCCCCCCAGCCCCCCTAGCCCCTCTATCCCGTTCCGCGTCTCAGAGGAAGCCGGGTGTCGGAGTCACTCACCTTTCTGTCATGGGGGTTCGAGGGGGTGGGGGGTGTTTCTAACGTGGGGTGGCATGCAGTGGCATTGCTCTGGGCTGACATCACCCTCTTACGCCCGATAAGTGTTGTCTACACAAGGGTTTAGTAATGGAAAAGCATATAAACTTGTCCCATTACGTCATATTTTGAACAACAATCCCATACTACTCCAATACGCTTATGTACTATATGTGTGAAATTTCCCCTTACTCAATTAATATTATCTGTAGTAACTGACTGCCATGATCCATATGGGACCTAGTCGCGTGGATAAAGCCTGTGGACACGGTTATTTATCTTAATGGCCCTCCTTTTTTAAGATAACAGGCGTAGGATGAGGTCACTGTGCGGCAATGAAGCCAGTGAATGTGCATGAACTGTACAGTCGTGGTCAAAAGTTTTGAGAATGACACAAATATAAATTTTCACAAAGTCTGCTGCCTCAGTTTTGATGGTGACAATTTGCATATACTCCAGAATGTCATGAAGAGTGATCAGATGAATTGCAATTCATTGCAAAGTCCCTCTTTGCCATGAAAATGAACTTAATCCCCAAAAAAACATTTCCACTGCATTTCAGCCCTGCCACAAAAGGACCAGCTGCCATCATGTCAGTGATTCTCTCGTTAACACAGGTGAGAGTGTTGACGAGGACAAGGCTGGAGATCACTCTGTCATGCTGACTGAGTTAGAATAACAGACTGGAAGCTAGTGCAGAACTTGCTCAGATATGGCAGCAGGCAGGTGTAAGTGCATCTGCACGCACAGTGAGGCGAAGACTTTTGAAGGATGGCCTGGTGTCAAGAAGGGCAGCAAAGAAGCCACTTCTCTTCAGGAAAAACATCAGGGACAGACTGATATTCTGCAAGGTACAGGGATTGGACTGCTGAGGACTGGGGTAAAGTCATTCTCTCTGATGAATCCCCTTTCCGATTGTTTGGGGCATTCGGAAAACACCTTGCCCGGAGAAGACAAGGTGAGCGCTACCATCAGTCCTGTGACATGCCAACAGTAAAGCATCCTGAGACCATTCATGTGTGGGGTTGCTTCTCAGCCAAGGGAGTGGGCTCACTCACAATTTTGCCTAAGAACACAGCCATGAATAAAGAATGGTACCAACACATCCTCCGAGAGCAACTTCTCCCAACCATCCAAGAACAGTTTGGTGACGACCAATGCCTTTTCCAGCATGATGGAGCACCTTGCCATAAGGCAAAAGTGATAACTAAGTGGCTTGGGGAACAAAACATCGACATTTTGGGTCCATGGCCAGGAAACTCCCCAGACCTTAATCCCATTGAGAACTTGTGGTCGATCCTCAAGAGGCAGGTGGACAAACAAAAACCCACAAACTCCAAGCATTGATTATGCAAGAATGGGCTGCCATTAGTCAGGATGTGGCCCAGAAGTTAATTGACAGCATGCCAGTGCGGATTGCAGAGGTCTTGAAAAAGAAGGGTCAACACTGCAAATATTGACTCTTTGCATAAACTTAATGTGACTTATGGAATGCTTGTAATTATACTTCAGTATACCATAGTAACATCTGACAAAAATATCTCATAACACTGAAGCTGCGAACTTTGTGAAGACCAATACTTGTGTCACTCTCAAAACGTTTGACCATAACTGTACACACTAAAGCCTGTCGCATTCTTCCCAGTTGAAACTGTTTGCGTATATATTCTGCATACATTTTGTGACGTTTTTGTTTGTTTTGGTGTTCGGCAGGTGTTTTGGGGGGCTGTTCGTGCACACACATTTTTTTCTTGAGAAATACTGCACCAAACATCTTCGTTAGATATACAATTGCGAGACTTAGACATCCTCTGCAAAAACGTCAAAATTCATTACAGATTTCTTGATTTATCTTAGATTATTCTATTTTGAGGAAGCGTATACTGTCTATGGCGTCTCAAGAGGGACAAACAGTCAAATTGCAGTTTTTTCAAGTGAAGGTCTTTTAAGGGAGTATTTGTATTTGTATTTATTAAGGATCCCCATTAGCTGTTGCAAAAGGCAGCAACTACTCTTCCTGGGGTCCAGCAGAATTAAGGCAGTTAAGGCATTACAGTACGTTTCACAACAGATTTCACAACACATTAAGTGCGAAGCACAGGCAAGGCACAGACGTTCGCTTCACCTAGCCTAGTTCTGCTTGGAGCAAACCAACCCTAGTATGGGGGCACCTTAAAGAGGCAGCATATTGGTACGAGATCCAATCTTTTTCTACATTTCCTTTGGTACGTGTTTTTTGTTGTTGATCTTAGGCCCCATCCAGAAACCCTCTAACTCCTAACCCCTAAGCACATGTGGATTTGAAAAAATCACATAGCTATGAGCAGTATGGTTGCAGCTCCTTCTTGCCCTCCATCTTCATAGGCTAAGTGGAATTTCTGCCATATTGCCTAAACATATCCAATTCCTTCAGATCTACACAAGTGCCTAGGTGTTAAGGAGCGTTGTTTCTGGATGAGAGCCTTACTGGGTTGTCTTTATGTTTTGTTTCTGTTTTCTCCCCAGGCATTGCCCAGATGGGTTTGAATGTAGGAAGGCAGGAAGGAACCCTAACTACGGTTACACCAGCTTCGACAGCTTCGGTTGGGCGTTTCTCTCCCTCTTCCGGCTGATGACACAAGACTACTGGGAGAACCTCTATCACCAGGTCAGTAAGGATACCTGGGAAATGGTCACCTTTATTTCAAACAATCTCCTCTTTCAGGTCATAGTCTGAAAGATCATGTGTCCATCCATCCCTCCCCAGACTCTGCGGTCAGCGGGAAAGACCTACATGGTGTTCTTCGTGGTGGTCATCTTCCTGGGGTCCTTCTACCTGGTTAACCTGATCCTGGCTGTGGTGGCCATGGCCTACGAGGAACAGAACCAGGCCACTATCCAGGAGGCCTGGCAGAAAGAGAGAGAGTTCCAGCTGGCCATGGAGTGCCTCAAGAAGGAAGCGCAGGTAAGACATAGAGTTTCATGTCTTCATTTTATGGCTAATGCTTTGGGAATTTGGACTGTAGACATAGAATTGCAGATTTCTTTAACTTCTACGGGATCGGTGTCCCGTATACGGGACGGTTGAGCTAACGTGCGCTAATGTGATTAGCATGACTGTTGTAAGTCACAGCAAACTTTCCAGGACATAGACATGTCTTATATGTGCAGAAAGCTTAAATTCTTGTTAATCTAACTGCACTGTCCAATTTACAGTAGCTATTACAGTGAAAAAATACCATCCTATTGTTTGAGGAGAGTGCACAACAACAAAAAAGTTATCACAGCAACTGGTTTGATACATTTACCTCTGAAGGTAAATAATGCACTTACATTCAGTATTCTTGCTCTGATTTGTCATCATGAGGGTCCCAGAGATAAAATATATCATAGTTTTGTTTGATGAAATCAATTTTTATATTCTAATGTAGGAACTGGGTTCTACAGTTTGAACCCTTGCTGTCTCTGGCTCCACACCCACCCTGCCCGGCCATCTAGATGTGTGAAGTTAGTGTATAAGCTAATGATCCATCATGTATGACATTCCTGGGAGTGTGTAAACTTACATTTTGTATTACCATATTATTTTTGTATGTTCTCTATAGTTATGTACTTGAAAATGTATCAATTGACCAATTTGGCACATTTGGGCAGACTTGATAGAAAATAGTCCAGTATTGCAATGCTTCGCTGGATAAATCTGAAACTTTGCACACACACCGCTGCCATTTAGTGGCCAAACTGCAATATTATATTGAGGCCTTTCTATTACATTTCAAAGATGATTAAAAAAAATAAAAAAATAAACATGTTTTATCTTTTACCAGATCTAATGTGTTACATTATTTTCACATTTCCACAAACTTCAAAGTGTTTCCTTTCAAATGGTATCAAGATTATGCATATCCTTGCTTCAGGTCCTGAGCTACAGGCAGTTAGATTTGGGTATGTCATTTTAGGCGAAAATTTTAAAAAAGGGTCCGATCTTTAAGAGGTTAAATTGGTTATCAGATGCTGGTATGGGACTTCTGTTAAAATGGAATGAGACAATATGCTGAAAAAGGACTATAGCTATTGGCCCTAGGATTTTGTTTGATAGGCTAACATAGCCTTGTTAGACCTAAACGACTCATGTTCGAAACCTGGTCAGTCACACATGAAAATGTATTTCATAGCAAATCTAGGTAAAAATTATTGAACTAACGCTTTGCCTTCCAACGCTACTCAGAAAGCTCAAGACACAGAATCATTGATGTCCCCGGAACTGTCCCCTGGCCTGGCTCTGCCTGACAACAAGGAGTTGCAGAGCAGGAGGAGAAGTCTAGAGGGGCTGGTGGAGGAGATGGAGAATGAGGGAGATGTGGTGGATGGAGAGGTGAAGACATTAAAGGTGGATACCGTGGATGGGGGCAGGGTAAATACAAACATGCTGAATCTGAAGTATAATTTCAGGTTTTGTAGATAAGTATGTATTTTGGAATATAGATCTTTCTACCCTACTAACATCAACTTTCTGAAACTATAGTGATCAAAGCAATCCTAATTTGTGAAAGGATTATCTGATTTCCAGTGTTTGAGTCAAAGACTTCCCTATCATATAGCCCACTCAAACTTTTTCTCCACTCCCCCACCAGCCGACACACCCCCTCCTCATCCGCACCATCTCCACGCGCACTAGACGAGGAAGCAACGTCAGTATCTTTAACTTCCGTCCCCGGAACAAAGACTCAGAGGGCGACTTCGCCGACGATGAGTTCAGTGTCCATGGGGACAATGAGGGGACACACAGTCGTACTGGGTCCCTGGTGGTCCCGTGGAGCGCCAGGCGCAGACCCAGTACCTACAGCACAGGCAGCCGGGGTTCCCAGGTCTTCCTCAACATCAATGGGAAGCTGTTTGTGGCCATGGACCAGAACGGGGTCGCCCCGCAGGGGCTCCCAGCATGCACCATGGAGAGGGTCAAGGAGGAGAGTGTGAGTACTGAGTTTGATGTTTCAAGTTTTAATGTCACGTGCGCTAGTACAGTGAAATGTCTTTCTTACAAGCTCCAAACCCAACAATGCAGGAATCAATATCAATGTAGCATTAAAAATAACAAGGTAGAACAAAAACACACGAGAAATAGAAATAAGAAGAACAGGAGAAAGTATGAAGCTATATACAGGGTCAGTTCCAGAGTCAGTTCCAGTACCACATTTACAATGTTCAGGGATAATGGAGTGATAGAGGTAGATATGTATAGGGTTAAGCTGACTATATACAGTGTCAGTTCCAATACCATATTTACAATGTTCAGGGATACTGGAGTGACAGAGGTAGATATGTATAGGGGTAAGGTGACTAGGCATCAGGATATACACTGATTGTACAAAACTTTAGGAACACCTTCCTAATATTGAGTTGCACCCCCTTTTGCCCTCAGAACAGCCTCAATTCGTCAGGGCCTGGACTCTACAAGGTGGCGAAAGCGTTCCACAGGGATGCTGGCACATGTTCACTCCAGTGCTTCCCACAGTTGTGTCAAGTTGTCTGGATGTCCTTTGGGTGGAAAACCATTCTTGATACACACAGGAAACTGTTGAGCATGAAAACCCAGCAACATTGAAGTTCTTGGCACCTACTCCCATACCCCGTTCAAAGGCAGTTAAATATTTTGTCTTGCCCATTCACCCTCTGAATGGCACACATACACAATCCATGTATCAATTTTCTCAAGGCTTAAAAATAATTATTTAACCTGTCTCCTCCCTTTCATCTACACTGATTGAAGTGGATTTAACAAGTGACATCAATAAGGGATCATAACTTTCTCCTGGATTCACCTGGTCAGTCTATGTCATGGAAAGAGCATGTCTTGTACACTCAGTGTATGATAAACAGAGTAGCAGCAGCGTAAATGATGATTGTATGTGAGCGTGTGTGCATGTGTGTAGAGGCAGTATATGCGTGTGTTGGAGTGTCAGTGTGCGTGAGTGTGTAGAGTCCTGCAAGTGTGCATAGAAACAGTGCAAAAATAAAACATTAAATACAAGGGTCAACTCAGATAGTCTGTGTAGCCATTCTGTTAGCTATTTAGTAGTCTTATGGCTTCAGGATAGAATCTGTTCTGGAGCCTGTTGGTGTCAGGCGATCCACCAATACTGCTTGCCATGCGAAAGTAGTGAGAACAGTCTATGGCTTGGGTGGCTGGGGTCTTTAACGTAACGATTTTCCGGGCCGTCCTTTCAGACCGCCTGATATAAAGGTCCTGGATGGCATGGAGTTCTGCCCCAGTGATATATGGGGCTGTCCGCATCACCCTCTGGTATGGCTGTTGCCATACCAAGCAGTGATGCAGCCAGTCAAGATGCTCTCAATGGTGCAGTTGTATAACTTGAGGATTTGATGCCAAACCTTTTCAACTTCCTGAGGGGGAAGAGGCGCTGTCGCTCATTCTTCACGACTGTGCGTGTTGACCATTTTAAGTCCTCAGTGATTTGTACACCGAGGAACTTGAAGCTCTCGACCTGTTCCACTGCAGCCCTGTCAATGTGCACTTGGTCTTACTGACGTCGAGGGAGAGGTTGTTGTCCTGGCACTACACTGCCAGGCCTCTGACCTCCTCCCTGTAGGCTGACTCAGTGTTGCCGGTGATCAGTCCTTCCACCGTCATGTCGTCAGCAAACTTGATGATGGTGTTGGAGTCGAGCGTGCGTGGCCACGCAGTCGTGGGTGAACAGGGAGTACAGGAGGGGACTAAGCACACACTCTAGAGGGCCCCTGTGTTGAAGGTCAGCGTGGTGGAGGTGATGTTGCCTACCCTCACCACCTGAGGTTAGCCCATCAGGAAGTCCAGGATCCAGTTGCAGAGGGAGGTTTTCAGTCCCAGGGTCCTAAGCTTGGTGACGAGCTTGGAGGGGATAATGGTGTTGAACGCTGAGCTGTAGTCAATGAACGTCATTCTCACATTGGTATTCCTCTTATCTAGGTGGGTGAGGGCAGTCTGGAGTGCAATTGAGATTGTGTCATCTGTGGATCTGTTGGAGAGGTATGCAAATTGGAATGGGTCTAGAGTGTCTGTGATGATGGAGTTGATGTGTGCCATAACCAGCCTTCCAAAGCACTTCATGACTACAGATGTGAGTGCTACAGGGCGGTAACAATGGTCTTTATTTGTCCCTAGTGGCGAAGGACACGTGTTGATGGAAATTGGGCATCACATGTCTTAATGCCGCGGAGTTAAAATCGCTAGCGACAAGCAAGGCAACCTCCGGGTGTAAGTTTTCCTGCTTGTTTATAACCTCGTACAGTTTGTTAAGTGCCAGCTTGTTATATTTATTGTCCTGAGGTGGAATATATACAACAGTCACGATAACAGCTGAAAACTCCCTAGGGAGGTAGAAGCGTTGGCATTTGACCATCAGTTATTCCAAGACGGGTGAACAATGGGTCAATGGGTCGAGACTACCACTGTGCTCGAGTCAGCACACCATTTGTTGTTGATGAAGAGGCAAACCCCTCCTCCTCTTGATTTCCCTGACTCTACTGTCTTGTCGTCTCGGTGAATGGAGAATCCATTGAGTTGGATAGCCATGGGGGTATCTTGTCCGAAAGCCATGTTTCAGAAAAGCAGAGAATATTGCAGTTACGAGAGTCCCGTTGGTAGCAAATCCGCGATCAGAGATCATGCATTTTATTATCATGTACATTGGCCAATAGAATGGAGAGAAGAGGTGGCCGGTTTTCCCTTCGCCTTAATCTCAATAGGACTCCCACCTCTCCAGCATCTGTAATGCCGACGTTCCCTCTTGCATACCCCGAAAATTGGGTCGGAACTATAAGAAAGAGCCCAGGGCAGATAAGTCGAAGTCGAAGTTGAAGCCGGCATTGGGGTTAGTAACTGCCGATCTGATGTTCAAAAGTTATTGTCGGTTATAAGAAATGATAGCAGATATCTTTCGTGAAAATAAAGTAAAGATATAATAATCACAACATAGCAAAGTACGGGCTGAGCTCTCAAAATGTAGGCCATCCAGCATGGTGTCATCTTCTGAGCGGAGTTACTGAGTGGAGTACTGAGTGGAGTTACTGAACTGAGTGGAGTTACTGAGCGGAGTTACTGAACTGAGTTACTGAGTGGAGTTACTGAACTGAGTGGAGTTACTGAACTGAGTGGAGTTACTGAACTGAGCGGAGTTACTGAACTGAGCGGAGTTACTGAGTGGAGTTACTGAGTGGAGTTACTGAACTGAGTTACTGAGCGGAGTTACTGAGCGGAGTTACTGAGCGGAGTTACTGAGCGGAGTTACTGAACTGAGTGGAGTTACTGAACTGAGTGGAATTACTGAGCGGAGTTACTGAGCGGAGTTACTGAGCGGAGTTACTGAACTGAGTGGAGTTACTGAACTGAGTTACTGAGTGGAGTTACTGAGCGGAGTTACTGAACTGAGTGGAGTTACTGAACTGAGTGGAGTTACTGAGTGGAGTTACTGAGTGGAGTACTGAGCGGAGTTACTGAGCGGAGTTTACGAGCGGGTTACTGAGCGGGAGTTACTGAACTGAGTGGAGTTTCTGAACTGAGTGGAGTTAATGAGTGGAGTTATGGAGGGAGTTACTGAACTGAGTGGAGTTACTGAAAATGAGTGGAGTTATGAGCGGAGTTACTCAGCGGAGTTACTGAACTGAGTGGAGTTACTGAATGAGTGGGTTAGAGTGGAGTAATGAGTGGAGTTACTGAGTGGGGGTTACTGAGCGGAGTTACTGAGCGGAGTTACTGAGGGAGTTACTGAACTGAGTGGAGTTTCTGAACTGAGTGGGGGTTATGAGTGGAGTTACTGAGTGGAGTTTCTGAGTGGAGTTACTGAGCGGAGTTTACTGAGCGGGTATGAGCGGAGTTACTGGTGGAGTTTCGAGTGGAGTTACTGAAATGAGGGAGTTAACTGAAAATGAGTGGGGTTATGAGGGGGGTTACTGAGGGGAGTTACTGAGCGGGAGTTACTGAGCGGAGTTACTGAGCGGAGTTACTGACGGAGTTACTGAACTGAGTGGAGTTAACTGAACTGAGTGGATTACTGAGCGGAGTTTACTGAGCGAGTTTACTGAGCGGAGTTACTGAACGAGTGGAGTTACTGAACTGAGTTACTGAGTGGAGTTTACTGAGCGGAGTTACTGGCGGAGTTACTGAACTGAGTGGAGTTACTGAACTGAGTGGAGTTACTGAGTGGGAGTTACTGAGTGGAGTTACTGAGCGGAGTTACTGAGCGGAGTTACTGAACGAGTGGAGTTACTGAAATGAGTGGAGTGTACTGAGTGGAGTTACTGAGCGGAGGTTACTGAGCGGAGTTACTGAGCGGAGTTACTGAGCGGAGTTACTGAACTGAGTGGAGTTACTGAACTGAGTGGAGTTACTGAGTGGAGTTACTGAGCGGAGTTACTGAACTGAGTGGAGTTACTGAAATGAGTGGAGTTACTGAGCGGAGTTACTGAGCGGAGTATGAACTGAGTGGAGTTTCTGAAAAGAGTGGAGTTATGAGTGGAGTTATGAGTGGGTTACTGAGCGGGGTTTACTGAGCGGAGGTACTGAGCGGAGTTACTGACTGAGTGGAGTTACTGAACTGAGTGGAGTTATGAGTGGAGTTACTGAGTGGGAGTACTGAGTGGAGTTACTGAGCGGAGTTACTGAGCGGAGTTACTGAGCGGAGTTACTGAGTGGAGTTACTGAGTGGAGTTACTGAACTGAGTGGAGTTACTGAACTGAGTGGAGTTATGAGGGAGTTACTGAGCGGAGGTTATGAGCGGAGTTTTACTGAGTGGAGTTACTGAGTGGAGTTACTGAGTGGAAGTATGAAAATGAGTGGAGTTACTGAACTGAGTGGAGTTACTGAATGAGTGGAGTTACTGAGCGGAGGGTTTCTGAGCGGAGTTATGAGCAGAGCAC